GTTGGTAAGATCACATGATTTTTCTTCTTCACCATGTTGATGTAATAGATTACATCAATTGATTGTCAAGGTTGTACCAGTCTTGCACAGGTGGGATAAGTTCTACTTGGTCATTTTATATAATTCTGTACATTTGTACATTGCTTAATTCAATTTGCTAGTGTTTTGTTGAGAATTTTTGCATGTATGTTAATGAGAGATAATTGCTTGTAGTTTTTCTTTCTTGTAATGTTTTTATTTCTATTAGAGTAATGCTGTCCTCACAGAATTAGTTAAGAAATATTCCCTCTGCTTCTGTTTTCTGGAAGAGATTGTGGAGAGTTTGTATAATTTCTTCATAAATGTTTGGTGGTATTAATCAGTGAGTCTGTCTGGGCCTTGTGCTTTCTGTTTTAGGAGGTTATTAATTATTGATTAATTATTTGAATACATATCTGTCTTTTGGCCTGTTTTAGGAGGTTATTAATTATTGATTAATTATTTGAATACGTATCTGTCTTTCTTTTTTGAGTTGGGGTTTTGCTATGTTGCCTGGGCTGGTCTTGAACTCATAGGCTCAAGTGATCCTGCCACCTCAGCCTCCTGAGTAGCTGAGATAATAGGCATGCATTACCTGTTTCTTCTTGTGTGACTTTTGGTGGTTTCTGTGTTTCAAGGAATTGGTTTATCTAGATTATCAAATTAATGAGTGTACAGTTTTATAGTATTTCTTTATTATTCTTTTAATATCCATGGGATCAGTAATGATGGCCCCTCTTTGTTTCTGATATTTATTCTCTCACCCTCTCTCATCTATCCTGGCTAGAGGTAGAGGTTTATCAATTTTATTGACCTTTTCAAAGATTAAAGAACTGGCTTCTGGTTCCATTGCTGTGTTTCTATTGATTTTGTTTTTAATCTATTGATTTCTGCTCTAATTTTATTTTCCTGTACTTCAGATTTAATTGGATTACATATTCTTTCATCTCTTAGCATCTTAGTTATACTTTTTTTAAAAAAACTTTTAAAAATGATTCCTCTAGAATTTGTAATATACATTTTTTTAGTATAGTTTATATGGTGAAACCCTGTCTCTACTAAAAATACAAAATTAGCCGGGCGTGGTGGCACACGCCTGTAGTCCCAGCGTAGTCCCAGCTATTCAGGAGGCTGAGGCAGAAGAATCACTTGAACCCAAAAAGCAGAGGGGCTGAGGCAGAAGAATCACTTGAACCCAGGAGGCAGAGGTTGCAGTGAGCCGAGATCATGCCACTGCACTCCAGCCTGAATGACAGAGGGAGACTCCGTCTCAAAAAAAAAAAAAAAAGGATATGGGGATATGGCTCCCCTCTTCCTTCCCCTTTTTTCCTGTTCCCAGTATTGATGAAAGACAGGAAGTGATTTTAATTGGAGATTTTTTCAAATCAAACTTCACTAATGGAATTAATTCTGGATTTTTTTTTTTTTTTTTTAAGACAGGGTTTTGCTCTCTTGCCCAGGATGGAGTGCAGTGGCTTGATCTTGGCTCACTGCAGCCTCAACCTCCTGGGCTCTGGTGATCCTTCCACCCCGCGTCACCAAGCCCAACTAATTTTTTGTATTTTTTGTAGAGATGAGGTTTCTCCATATTTCCCAGGCTGGTCTCAAAATGGAATGTTATTTTGAAAGCAGTAGTTTTAATTTAGGCAAAATGGGGCAAAGTTTAACATAATTCTGGTCTTATTTTGTAATAAAGACTGTTAATATATGATGAGATGTAGTAGAACAACAGCTTATGTGACTTCAAGGATGCTGTTGTATGTTCTTTTTGTTTGACACAGAAGCTCAGAATTATATTTTCTTCTTTAACATATTTTTGGGACCAAAGTAAGTATAAGTGACATTGATTAGATAGTATTTCTTTTTCTCTTGCATTTCCCTTTACTGAGAAAGTAGTAAAAATGGCACTTGACATATAACTAGCAGATTTTTGTGAGTGTGCAAGACAGTTGAAGGAAGGGAGATTTGGGGTTTGTTTTGGAGTAATCTTGGGGAAATACTGGAACATCCGCAAGATGTTGTTCTTTATATCTAGGAGATGAACATGTTCATATTCATGAGATTGGCAGCAACTGAATTTTCTCTAGTCTGTTTTTGTTAGTCCATTTGTAATAGTGATGGGTGGATTTACCCCTGCCTTTCCATTGGTAATTCTATAGAAATAAAGACTTAGGAAAATACTTTCTCTGTGTGAGGATCCTTTGTCAAAGACTGAAAAGACTAGAGGGTGGCATTTAATTCTGCAGAATATAGGTCATGGTACTTAGTTCCTACAGGTAGGACTTAGCAGTATATCCAAATACTTTATTCCTTAAGAAACGATTTTTTAGCCAGTGAATGCACTTTTAATTGGAAGATCTTGGTTTTCTCAACTGTTTACCCCGAATAATTCAGAGCGTGATATGGGATATTTTGGAGAAATATATTCATATTTTAGTTAGGTTTAATCTTTTGGGTAAAGTAATAAATTATATACATGGAGCATGATTTACCGGGGTATAAAAATTAATGTAAGACTAATTCCAGTTTCCTCATATATACTGGGAATATATAGCTCTTTTATCTATTTATTTTGAGAGACGGAAGTATATTTCTGTACTCAAATTCAAATCGCTTTCTTCTGTTAACTCACAGACCTTTTTTTTTTTTTTTTTACAGTTTTCTGTATCTTCATGCATCAGGGCAGTCAGGGCATGAGTAAATGTTTAAGGTTAAGGAAGCAGAAAGTTTTTTTAAGTTCTAGAAAAAAATAAAATTGAAAAAAATAAATTTGAAAAAGTAGATTTGTGACATGAAAGAAACTATGACTTTATCAAGTGTTATTAAGATAAGCTTAGCCTTACCATGGCAGTTTATTGTTCTCTTATTAGTAACTCCTACTCTCAGCAGTGCTGATACAATTAGGTTATGACTGATCTCTTTTGTGAGCATAATTTAATTTCACTTCCACCCAGGAAGTGTGTTTCCTCTAGTAAATGAAGGAGTTTTAGAATATAGGTATAAGATCGTTGGTAACTGGAGGGATAGAAGGAAAGCAGAGGGTAGATAAGTTGTAGAAGGAAAGCAGAGGAGTAGATAAGTTATATGATTTGAGAATCCTTGTCTAGGAGACTATTGGATTGAAGTCCATGAAAAAAGAAAGAAAAATATAATTGGCCATTAAATATTTCTAGAGACCTGTTTTGCTGGGCATAGAAAAGTAAGCCCATGATGTTTTTTATTTTTAGTACCTAATTTTTCTTTAATCTTTATTGAAATCCTATTGTTCTTAATTGAAAGTCCTTCATTATTTTTATCTAATACTGAAATATAAAAATTAAATTCAGAATAATCAAAATGTTAAAAATAGTTGAGATGTCAAACTTGAAATATTCTCTTTCAAAAATAAAAGCCAAAAATAAATAAGTAGGCTCTTCAGCCATTATCATTTAGTCCTCAGGGTAATTGGTGAAAAGTAATCAAGTAAAAGTCGTGTTAATAATAGTAGCTCTCATTAGTATGTCCTGGACACTATACTCAGTCCTTAATATGCATTTCCTCAGTAATTCACGTAAACCCAGATTTGAGATGCACTTTTATTATTTTCATTGTTCCATAACAAAACTGATAGACAGTGAGGAACCCAGGTTTATCTGACCCCCCCCCAGAGCTAAAGAGGATAACAGCTTCTGGTTTCTGAGTACAGAGTCAGCTAACATATTGTATCCTTTGTTGCTTTGCAAAATTCAATATAATAATAATGGCCAGAATGGAAATCTATCCAGCCTCTTTTCCTTTTTTCTATTCTCATGTTTTTCAGAACTTTCAACAAGTTTATATAGCTTTTCATGCTTACCTTGATGTTTAGTGGTAGCTAGTTCCTTTTAGTTGGCTAAATAAAAAGCCCTTAAAATCAAGATTCGAAATCTAAACTCTTTATGAACCAGTTGGTTTAACTCATTTTGTGGTCAGAGCCTCTGTGCATGTTTGATTGATTACAAGTGAAACTAGTCATAGCTCAAGAGAATCGTCACATATTTATGACACCACTAGTGTTCACTGTAGTATGGTAACTGTTTTTAGAATTATGTCATGATCTGAAAAGACTGTAATTGTTGTGTCAACCTGAGGAAACTTATCTGTTTTTGTGGGCTTTCTGTAATAGTGTTTATCTGTCATTTATGGCTTTGAAATTTAATACTGTGCGAGAGCCTGGTCTAGGTAATTATAGAAGATAGAAAGTTTTCCTTTGAAAGTTAAAATGTAGGAAAGTTGTTAAATGTTAGTCAAGAATAAGTAATACAGTAAAAACCATAAAGAAATAAAACAGAAGAGAGGCAAAAACTAGAAAACAAAAGTCATTTAAAGGGCTAAAGCAGACATGCTTAGAAGGTACTTTTGATTAGACATACTTTTGAAAATCTAATTTTCTACTTTCTAGAGCTTATTTTTCTAATTGCCTTAGGTTTTAAGATGTACATGTATATTGTTTTCTTGCTCTTCTCCCCTCTTTTGTTTCTGTTATAGATGGATATGTTTGTCACCTGTGCCTAGAAGAAATTCTTCTAGCATGGCCATTAGGATATAATGTTTGAGCTCACCTGATTTGGAGGGGGTAGTTGAAACTACCACTTCCTTTGTAACTGCAAGACCATTTAGTTTTCAGATGTTATCTTTAATGTTAGCAAAGTATGTGTTTTATATAGTGTTTTCTGTATAAAAAACTATAGTTTCTGTTCACTAAGTTGAATCTATATGGAATAGTCTATGAAATAAACCTTACATCATTACCAACTAGTTCGATGTAGTAGTGAAAATCATTCATGGGTATTTCACTCTAGTTTGATATATAAATCTCTTGGATTTGCAGCATGGAGTGGGGAAGAAATCCTAATTATAGTTCTCTTTTCCCAGTTTAATTTCTCCTCTTTTTTTTTTTTTTTTTTTTGGCTGTTTTTTCTCAACTGTCAGTGGAATTATTGTCTCCCTGTCTCCATATTTAGGTAGTGTCAGTGGCTGAGTATCACCGCAGGATCGATGCTCTAAATACTGAAGAACTGCGCACACTCTGCAGACGCCTCCAGGTGCCCCCTTCAGTAGTTTCAACCCCTCCAGAGACTGAATACTCCCTGTTTTTAGTGTTCTTTGTCATGGCAAATCTCATTTGAAGAATTTGCTTTGACTGCAGCACTAAAATTAAGTTCCTTTTTGTATTAGAGGTTATAGTATTGCCTTGAAGAGCGATGGATTATCTTTTCTGTCATCTTTTCATTTGAAAAATATTCTGAAGAATGTTCTGTCACTTTAGAATTATTCTCAGTATCGTGTGTTTCTTTCAGCGATGAGGAGTTTTCATTCATTTAACATTGGAAGAATGGTGTTGGTTTCGAGATTGAATCTTGTCTAAACAAAACTTGAAAGATATGGTACTATAGGAAAACTAAAAAAAAAAATTAATAGCAAGGCTTAAATATTTTCTTTAAGGCTATTTCATTTGTATCAACGTCACATCAAATATCTCAATATGATAAACTGTTCTTGAGGCATTCTTGGTTGGTATTAGGAGTACATTGGAATAGTACAGTTTAGATACAGAACTGGATAAATTACTTAAAATTCTGTGAAATAATCTTTGTGATTTTTTTAGATACAAGAAAGCAATGCAATTGAAAACTCATTTTTCAGTTTTGTCTATTATACTGTGCTTCTTTCTTAATAAGATATGCTTTCATGGCTTTGCTAGACCTACTGATTTTTTTCTTTTAATGCTTCTAATGCTGCCTTGGGTTTCTTTTTCTTTTTCTTTTTACCTTTCACATCATCAAAATAAAGGTGAAACACGATGATATGAAAGAATGAGTATTTAACTTCTTGCCAAAAAACAATACAGTTATAAAACATGTATTGGTTGCAAATATATGCTGCTCAGGTTTGTTAAGAAACCTGTTAAAGGAACAAAATAATTTAGCAAAAATTTCATTCCCGTATGGAATCACAGTTGCCAAGCATTGCTGCATTTTAGTTATCTGCTCCAATAGAATTCTGCATATTTTCCAATTTGAAAGTTTCATAAATAATAGTTACATTTCATTTCTTTTATTTTCTTATGTTTTATATATTAAAATAAAATTAATATTAAAAAGTAAGCACCAATAGAATATATCGTGCGGTAGTAAGCTTTATTTTTAGTTAGTTAACATTTTTTTCATTTTAAGGGTACCAGTGAAATCATTTCCACCAAGCAAAAGCATATATTCTTTGTAATGCAACGCAATAATCTAATTTTAAAAATAAATTTATGAACAAATTAACAGTAAAATTTATTGTTTGGTCCAACTAGATGAAGAAAATTAAATGTTTACAAAGTTAAAAAAATGAAAGCATTTAAAAAAAAGTGGTAACATTTTTCAGTGAAACAAATAAATACATGCACACCTCACAGAAAATAAAGTTATATTTTTTATTCTACTATTCTTTACATTAAAATTTTGGCATCCAGGAAGTTTTGTTAATTATTTTTGACAAATTTTGTGTTTAGCATCAAAAAATTCTATTTTAAATAGCACACATACACACACACACACAGACACAAAGCAAGCCAACTGGCTGACTTTTGCCCTTCAAGGGCTTAATTAAAGATGCATGCAACTATCTTCTTTACACAGAAATATGGGGATTTATCATTCCTACCAGTCCTTCCTCATGTAGTGGATGAGAAAACGTCTGTTTATATTGTTATAAAATCTTTTTCTAAATTGGCTACATCATAGATATTAGATATGGGGCATCTTTTGCCCTATAAAATCTTAAGATTAAAGATTTAGACACATTTTCTACAATATAAAGCTTTATTTATCTGAAAAGTCTGACAATTTTGAAAGCATGTCGCAAGTTTACATTAATACACTACCTCTATTTACTTTTTTAGATTACTACAAGGGAAGACATAAATTCAAAGGAGGTTGCTCCAGTGAAAGCAGACCTGGAGTCTGAATCTTTTCGACCAAACCTAAGTGATCCCAGTGAACTTTTACTGCCAGATCAAATTGAAAAGGTATGACATGCTCACTTAGGTGCATTTCTGAGTGTGAGTGTGTACCCATGAGAGTAAAACAGCCTCTTTTTAGTTGTTTCTGAAGCAACAGCATTAATGCTATTACTATCCCACTCCAATGAAAAGAAAGAGTAAGCAAAACATAGCAGCTAGTGTTAATTAAGGTGTTAGGAGATTTAGGTAAGCAGACACTAATAGCCAATATTTGTTTTATTGTTGTGTGCTTGTTACTTGCTTTATGTGAATTATTTCATGTAGTTGTTACAACAGTTGTAGAAATTGGATGCTCTTATTATGCAGATTTTTTATTAAGTTAAAAAATCGGGAGCATAGAGCAATTAACTTGTTCAAGGTCACACAGGGAGAAGTATTAAAGCTTGATTCCTAACTTGGATAGTCTGTCTCCCTAGCCCATTATTTGAGAGATATTTTAATAATCAAGCTAACAGTCTATCAAGTATTTTTGTTAATTCAATATGGAAGGCAAAAGCAGTAAGTAATCTATGTTTCTTATCTCTGTTCTAATCTGTGTCTGGTTCAGGATGATTCTCTATTTTCCTAATAGACAATTAATATTTTATGCTGAGAAATGTGTAATACTTTTCAATCATCTTAGTATCTTTGAGAATAATAATTTCTACTGTTAATTTATTTTTATAGCCTACATTATATAAGCACCATTAAATTCCAGCTGGCAATAGTGTTCTATATAATGAACAACAAGCTATCAAGTAAATACTAACACTTTGTTTTTTAAAGCTTACCAAGCATCTTCCACCAAGAACAATTGGCTATCCATGGACTCTTGTTTATGGTACTGGAAAACATGGCACAAGCTTGAAAACTCTTTATCGAACAATGACAGGTTTAGACACCCCAGTGCTGATGGTGATTAAAGACAGTGATGGACAGGTATGAAACACTAACTGCATAAATCGCTTATCCTTTAAGAGCAGTAACAGTAACTTTTAGCATATTTTTTTGATAAACATTACTTTATTAGTACATTTTATTATTTAACTGGTAATTCAAGGCAATGTTGAGTGTTACAGAGGATAGATATGAGCATGATGATTAAGAATTACTGCCTTCAAAGGGATTATAGAGTGGTAGAAAAGAACATTTGCACATACCAATATCTCTAATGCTGGGAAAAATGGTAGGTTTGTTAGAACCTAGAAAAAGTGAGGAAATAAAAATGAAGTTCATGGGAAAGGTAGAAATTGGCAGAATCTTGAATAATGGGTAAAGTTTTGATTAAAAATAATTGTTTGAAGGTGATAGCCAGAACAAAAGCACAAATAAGAGTAATATTGGTTTGTTCCTCAAACAGCAAGTTCAAGTCAGTTGTAATTGGAAACTAATGAGAAGGTAAAATAGCAATATTAAAACAAAACACTAGTATTACTAACACCTTTAGTGTTTTATGTGTCAGGAACTTGACTAATCACTTATGCATTATGTTATTTAATCATGAAAGCCCTATGAGATTGATACGGTTATCATCTTTATATTAAAGAATGAGTCAACTGTGACGTAAGCGCATCAACTTGTCCAAGGTTACATACCCAAGAAAAAGTATTTGCACCAACGAAAATGAATGAACTGCTGCTACATGCCGTGGCGTAGATGAATGTCACAAACATAATATTGAATTAGAAATCAAACACCAAAGAGTAACTTTCTTATGATTTCATTTATAGAAAGTTTTGTCAGGGGGCCAAATGAATCTATAGTGGTGTTAGGCTAGTAACTCCTTCAGGTAGGTGAGCCTATTGATGAGAAGAAGCACAAAGAGAGCTTCTAGAACTCGTGGTGTTCTGTTTCTTGGTCTGGATGAACGTTGCATGGGACTTTGTGATAATTCTAAACTGAGCTATGCATTTATGTTTTGTGTACTTTTCTATAATATATATATAAAATAACCTTTCAATAAGGAAATATTTTCAAATTTAAGACTATAAAGATAGAATGTCAGGATAGACAGTGACTGTACAGATTATATGTCAGACTGTCTGCACTCCCATTTCTGATGTGGAAACTTCAACTCGTAACACTGAAATTACTTGGTCAATCTCTTATTCATCAATTTTTTCACTAGGGTACTGTGTGTCTTGTATAAGATCATGCACGGGGTTAAAGGACAAAATAATTCACACATAACACCTGCCCTCGTGGAATTTACTGTATAATGATAGAGAAAAAAATAGCATATTTTAAAAGTGATAGAATGTTTCCCTATAGTGAAGGACTTATTTTATTAAGCACCACAATCCCATAGCATCATGTTATCCATTTCATACATACGTTGTCCTCCTGAAATGTGTTAACTACTTTAAGATTGTCTATTTAATTACTTTAAATAAAATCCCAAAATTTAAAAACTAGGAAAAAATCTGTTTTTCCGCTGAAAAACCAATATGCTTTATATTTGACAATAATGTAAATTATATAACAGCTAGCCATTTTTCCCTTTTTAAGTATGATTAGATGAAACTATACCAGATTTCTCTTTTTTGCATTTTAGTTAAACATATATGATGAAATAATGCTTACTGAAATAAATTTGTTAGTCATGTCATTGAACATGCCTTTTTTATCCTTAGGTTTTTGGTGCATTAGCATCTGAGCCATTTAAAGTGAGTGATGGCTTTTATGGTACTGGAGAGACCTTTGTTTTTACATTCTGTCCAGAGTTTGAGGTAAGGACCCCTATTTCAATATTTTGTTTATAAAGAGATGGCATAACATACTGCTCAAAGCAATTTATAGATTCAGTGCTATTCCCATTAAACTACCATTGATATTCTTCACAGAATTAGGAAAAACTATTTTAAAGTTCATATGGAACCCAAAAACAGCCCAAATAGCCAAGAAAATGCTAAGCATAAATAACAAAGCTGGAGGCATCACGTTACCCGACTTCAAAGTGTGCTACAAGGCTACAGTGACCAAAAGAGCATGGTACTGGTATAAGAACAGACACATAGACCGATAGAACAGAATAGAGAACTCAGAAATAAGACCACACACTTGTAACCATCTGATCTTCGACAAACCTGACAAAAATAAACAATGGGGAAAGGATTCCCTATTTAATAAATGGTGCTAGGAGAACTGGCTAGCTATGTGCAGAAAGTTGAAACTGGACCCCTTCCTTAAACCATATACAAACATTAACTCAAGATGGGCTAAAGACTTAAATGGTAAAACCCAAAATTATAAAAACCCTAGAAGAATATCTAGGCAATACCATTCAGGACATAGATACGGGCAAAGATTTCATGACAACAATGCCAAAAGCAGTTGCAACACAAGCAAAAATTGACAAATGGTATCTAATTAAAGAACTTCTGCACAGCAAAAGAAACTATCCTTAGAGTGAACAGACAGCTACAGAGTGGGAGAAAATTTTTGCAGTCTATCGTGTGACAAAGGTCTAATATCCAGAATCTACAAGGAACTTAAGTGAATTTGCAAGAAAAAACACCACTGAAAAGTGGGCGAAGACACTTTTCAAAAAAAGACATACATGCGGCCAACAAACCTATGAAATAAAGCTCAACATCACTGATCATTAGAGAAATGCACATCAAAACCACAATGAGGTACCATCTCACACCAGTCAGAATGGCTATTATTAAAAAGTCAAATAACAACAGATGCTGGCAAGGTTGCAGAGAAAAAGGGAATGTTTTGTTTTGTTGTTGTTGTTGTTGAGATAGAGTCTTGCTGTGTCGCCCAGGCTGGAGTGCAATGGCATGATCTCAGCTCACTGCAACCTTTGTCTTCCAGGTTCAAGCAATTCTCCTGCCTCAGCCTCCCAAGTAGCTGGGATTACAGGTGTACACCACCATGCCCAGCTAATTTTTGTATTTTTTGTAGAGACGGGGTTTTGCCATATTGGCCAGGCTGGTCTCAAACTCCTGACCTCAGGTGATCCACATGCCTCGGCCTCCCAGAGTAGTGGGATTATGGGTGTGAGCCACCATGCCCAACCGGAAGAGGAATGTTTTTACACTGTTGGTGGGAGTGTAAATTAGTATAACTATTGTGGAAGATAGTGTGGCAATTCCTCAAAGACCTAGAGGCAGAAATATCACTTGACCCAGCAATCCCATTACTGGGTATATACCCAAAGGAATATAAGTACTCCTAATATAAAAATACATGCACACAAATGTTCATTGTAGCACTATTCAAAATAGCAAAGACATGGAATCAACCTAAATGCCCATCAATGATAGACTGGATAAAGAAAATGTGGTACATATACACCATGGAATACACCATATACACCATGCAAATTAATGCAGGAACAGAAAACCAAACACCACATGTTCTCACTTACAGGAAAGAGCTGAATGATGAGAACACATGGACACATTTCAGGGGAACAGCACAGACTTTGTGTCTATTGCAGGGTGAGGGTGCGGGGAGGGAGAGAAGAGCATCAGGAATAATAGTTAATGGATGCTGGGCTTAATACCTAGTTGATGGGATGATCTGTGCAGCAAACCACTATGGCACGCGTTTACCTATGTAACAAAGCTGCGCATCCTGCACGTGTACTCCTAAACTTAAGTTGAAGGAAAAAAAAGAAAGATGGCATAAATGAAAAAAACATGCACTTTCGAGTCATGCACGGTTGCATTTGACCCCTATCTTTGCCTTTTACTCCCTGGTAGCTTAACTTTTCTTTGACCATTTTGAACTTCAACTTTCCTGTAGATAGAATGAGGAATCATAAAATATGACATGGTCATTTAATAATTAAATGAGGATCATTTATATATAATACTTGGGATGGCACCAGACACAAATTATGGACTTAGTAAAGAATATACATGATCATTACTATTCTGTTTATAAATTGTCATTGTGAAATTTCCAGAAACATTTAATGACTAAGCTTAATGATGTAAGTCATGAAAGTATAAAAAATAAATTATTTGCATTTAAATAAAAAGTTATTAACTGGTTTCTTTTTCTTTACCTGTGTGGCTTTACTGTGCCTTGACTAACATAGATGGAATACATTCTTATGCTAATAAAATCTAAAATGTAAAGATATAAATGAATTTTAGTGAATGTGTGACTATTCTTAAAACGTTGAGTGCAATATTAGTATCTCGGGCACATTGGAGTGTGGCACGTAAAACCTTCATTTTAATCTCAAGAAAAGGAATCAACACCATTGGTTATAAAAATAAATGAACAAAATAGGAACAATTTGGTTACACAATAAAAAGTCTTTTAGCAAATTTGTACTTAACTAGGTCACCACAATAACCAATGCTTTTGATTCCTTCCATAAAATATATCAACTGATAGCAACAACTAATTGAAAGCTTGTAGTTATTACAGATTTTCTAAGCATCAGTAGTGCCTATTCTCACACTTTTTATGTTACTGCTACCTGATAAGTGTAATAATGTAGTCAATTAAATGTTACATAACTATGAAAAACAGGTGTTAAAGTTTTATTGAAAACTGTAGTGAACACATTTGAAAAACTTGATAAAGTTGCTAGAAATTGCTACTATGTTAGGTTTAGGTAAAACACCCATAAACGGTTAGAAAAAGATATTTAAGAATATTAATGTCTAGTTTGCTTTTGGATTTCTCAAATGATTTTAAGTTCTCACTGTTTAAAGAAATTGAAACTGGAAATCATAAATACCCATTATGGGCGTGGTTTATTTAAGAACTATGATCATTAAATATATATCCAAAGTAAAGGCCTTGGCCCTATGTTAAAATATTATCAAATTAACATACATTTATGTTTAATGGTAAAAGTTAATGCATTTGTGTCTGATTTTTTTTCAACTCATTTACTTCTTTCTTCAGTTTTTTCTATTTACCATCCAACTCTTGGTGTCTGTAAGTCAGGAGAAAGAAGTGTGTGTGAAAAGTTAACAAAATTTGAGAAATTGGAATTGAAAGTTAAGTGATAAGAGTGTGTGCTTTCAAATTTAGTCATATAAACACTGAAACCCAAACCACCAGAGCCTTCTGTGCCAAGCTTTTTGTGGTGTTCTTATTCCTATACTGTCAATCTTGGCTTTGTTAACTCTTTTGAGTTTTGGAGAACTAACTCTGTATAATAACCATTTCATCTATATATTTAAAGCTTTTTTTAAATTTATATAGGTCTTTAAGTGGACAGGAGATAATATGTTTTTTATCAAAGGAGACATGGATTCACTAGCTTTCGGTGGTGGAGGGTAAGTCTCTTGGACATTTCATTATGAGATTTTTGAAGAACTTTAAAATGCATTTGGATTAGTTATAAATTCAGTTATCTTTAGAAAGTTTTGACATTAGAATTCAAATTTGTATATTATGAAAATGAAAGTATATTTGCAAGAAGGCGCTCAAGTGTAGTTATTGAAACTATTGGTAGAGTATTTGTTTCTTCGTTTTAAAATACTGTTCAGTTTATTTACAGTTTATTAAGACCCATCTTTTTCTTTAGAGCATAGTGGCTCTTTGATAATTTAAAGGGAAATATCTCAGTACCTTTGAACTTCTCTAATTTTTAAATAACTGTGATGGAATATTATTGTATTTCTCCCAATGCATAGAAGAAGTCCAGTTGTTTTCATGTTATTCTACTCTGGAGACCATTTGGAATGATATTTTAGGCAATAATAGAAATGGGTATTTCTGTAGAAAATTGTAGGGACCCCTCAAGTTTTCAGGGGTTTTTTGCTTGCTTGTTTTTAACAATTATGAATCAGACAATAATATGATTTTTTTGGCATTGCAAGTGCTGTGAGGAACTTTGTTTTTCATTTGGTATCCCAGCCTCCTTTAATCTTGACAGTGTTGGGAGGTAGGCTGCTCTGGTCCCACCTAGCCTGGGCTTAGCAAGCATCAACTCCTTCCTTTGGTATTTCTGTCTTTCATTATTAGACATGGGTATGCTAAATAATTTTCAGACTTGTGAAAGTGTTACAATATTTGTATCCCACAGTTGAGGATACATAATGATAATTTATTCAGACCACCAAAGAATATTCATCATCCCAGGTTATTCTATTATTAACAAATTTTCTTACAACTTCTCTGTAAGTAGGTGTGGGGGATATAATTAGGGCGATTAAAAAGTGATCATGGTTATTGTAGACTTCTCTGTTAGTTTTAGCTGTTGAACTCAGCATATATTTACATGGTCCAATTATACTTTTTGAGGGGGTATCATTCAGCCCTCCCCAAAACAGTAGTCTTACATGTGATTCTGTTAGCTCTCCAAGAGGTCCACTCAAGCTAGTGGTTTATAATTTCAAGATTTTATGGGTGCTTTAAGTCTTCAAAAATGACATACACAATGCCATTAGATGTCTGCTGGAACTAGATTTTATTGTACAACATGATTTCACCAAGCTAAAGTAATCATTGGGTTATTTGATAATAAATTAATATAAGTTTTCAATGTTGGAAAGAGAGTACAGCTTCAGAAAGCAGAAACTACAGGGAGTTAATATTCCCGAATTCCAAAGGAAAGGCACCCCAAAAGAAAAATAATGATGTAGTGGACTTAATGTAGGCTTAGGAGTCCAATAGACCTGATTCAGATTCTCACTTCAACTTATGCTATATGTGGTGTCTTGAGCAAACTCCCTAACAAATCTAAACTTTCCTTAGCTATAAATTGGAGATTAAATCAGTTTTACGGAGAGATTATAAGGAATTCACAAGGATATGATTTTTGTGCAAATCCTAGTATAGTATCTAGCGTATAGTAAGTACTCAATAACTGATAGCCACCTACACTGATAGCCACCTTTACTTACTTTCTTTCATCCAACATGATCTGTTCCCTTCTGATACCAGGAAGAATTCTGCCTGCAGTATCTTTGGCTGCATGAGCTGTAAGACATTAATGAAAGATTTAGAACACTGCTTTTATTCCTTCTACTTCCTTAGCCATTCTCTTTTCAGAAAGTCATATGAATCATCTTTGAAAGCGTTGCTCATATAAAAATACACTTTCTGGCTTTCCAGGTGTTTCACCTGGGACAGATCTGTCTTAAATACATTTACTTAAATATTTGGATATCACATACCCTTTTGAAATGCTGATGAAATGCAGAGACATCCATTGTCCTAAAATGAATATACAAATTAAATTTTATATGTGATATTAAGAAATTGACAAAAATATTGAAAGCTTCTACTCAGGGCTTCAGAAAGTTCAGGTTACCTTGGAAAAAACTATTCATACTTGGTAATAAAACTTATTGCAGCATCAGTGACATTCATGAATCTTGAAGGTCAATTTTGAGGTACTTCTTAGATGTCATCTGAGATTACAACTAAATGTCTAATCTTTTATTAACCCTTTCATATTTAGCAAAATAAGGTTTTTGTGAGGAAGTCTGACCGTTTCATATTCACCTTTCTAATAGGTTGGCTGTGATAGTCTGTTCGCACTTTAAAAGGCTCATGGATTCAGATATCTCTTTAAAAAGCATGTTGTTGCCAGTAGTGTTAGAGCCTCTAGAAGTCTGTTGTCATAAGACCATAAACTTTTTAATTCAAATGCAGTTTCTAATTTATCTTTGTGTTTTCCAGTACCAATGTCTGAAACATGATAAATGCGCATTTAAAGTTAAACAAATTAGTCAAATATGAATTTCAATTTGAACCTTAACAAGTGATGGCTTCCTCATGGGGCAGGGGGCATTTTCAGGACCATCTAGTTTTTGCAGTGCTTCCATATCACAAACTCTGGATTGTTATGATTTTCAAGGTGATCTTGCATCTTAGCAAAGTCCCATTTTTATTTACAGAAGAGGTTCATAAGAACCACATCACTGGTTATCCCATTACAGTTTTTTGTACTGTCAACTCTCTTCTTGAATGACACAGGATGATCTCTTCACCTGGTTGTTGTGAATTACTATACTGATCCGTCTTTTCGGTTTTGTTGTGAAGTACCAACTCTTTTTTTTTTTTTTTTTGAGAGAGAGAGTTTCACTCTTGTCGCCCAGGCTGAAGTGCAATGGCACAATCTTGGCTCACTGCAACCTCTGCCTCTCAAGTTCAAGTGATTCTCCTGCCTCAGCCTCCCAAGCAGCTGGAATTACAGGCACTCACCACCATGCCCAGCTAATTTTTGTATTTTTACTAGAGATGGGGTTTGGGCATGTTGCCAGGCTGGTCGCAAACTACTGACCTCAGGTGATCCACCTACCTCAGCCTCCCAAAATGCTGGGAATACAGGCATGAGGCATTGCACTTGGCCCCAACTCTTAAAGGAACCATTCTACATGGTCACTGTAGCCACCCTTCTCTACTTAGAAACATATCTCTGTACTTAAAATTTATATATGTAATTAATATACATTATATATTTGATGCTGTTTTTTATTACAGAGTATAAATAAATAGTTCCTTTCTTTCATTCTAAGATAGTGTTAAAAATAGATCAGTTCCAGGCCAGGCACAGTGGCTCATGCCTGTAATCCCAGCGCTTTGGGAGGCTAAGGCAGGCGCATCACAAGGTCAGGAGATCGAGACCATCCTGGCTAACACAGTGAAACCCTGTCTCTTCTAAAAAATAGAAAAAATTAGCCAAGGGTGGTGGTGGGCACCTGTAGTCCCAGCTACTCAGGAGGCTGAGGCAGGAAAATGGCATGAACCCAGAAGGCGGAGCTTGCAGTGAGCAGAGATCGCGCCACTGCACTCTAGCCTGGGCAACAGAGCGAGACTCCGTCTCGGAAAAAAAAAAAAAATAGGTGAGTTCCTCTCCCACACAAGTCAGTTAACTCTGTGATGCCATGTGACTCCTGATGGCAAGCCTGAAGGTCAGAAGGTATTACAGCCATCCAAATTATAGAGTTGTGTAAGTCTTTACAGATTACCTAATATACTTTTCTTTTTTTGTGTTTTTATGTAATTGACAAACTCTACCCCAGAGAGGTTAAGTGACTTAACTAAGTTTGACATAAGTTGTGGCCACTGAGTTGACAGACAAGTCTTAATCCCAGACCAGTTTTTTTTCTTTCACTGAAATATAACTGCCCATATTTTTTTAAAAACCCTCTTCCTCCTAAACTCTGGCTCCAGTCTGCTGACTTGATATCCTAGTTTAGATTTAGAGAATCCCAAGGGAAAACTCTCTGGCTATTATGTTAATTATTAGTCTTTGCTCCCTCTCCTCTTCTATTAGGTGGGGAAACATTTTCTAGAGAGTAAAAAAAAGTCCTCTCATAACCTGGTTTTTTCCCCTCCAGGTTATGTATTAGATAATTAGATAAATTGGACCTTATAATCTATCTGTTAAGTTCCTATTATACGTAGATTATATCTTGGTTCTTCTGCTTGAATCTCAGCATCACATATTTGTCCATTTAAAGTCCTTTCAAACTGAGCTCTTTTGCAAACAGCTTCCTATGCAGGAAACCAGAGTTAATTACTAGGTGCTTAACATGAATCCCCAAATTTTATTTTAGATGATACTGAGTTTTTGTGCCTTTGAGAAAGTCGTGTTAAATATGTTAAAACCATACAAAAAAGATAAACACACACATACACACACACAAAAAAAAAAATACTAAAAAAAATGCCCAGAGAAAAACTCGTAATACCAGGCAAAAAATCACAGAGTAGTACCTGTCTCAAAAGCTAATCCTTCATGAAGTTGATGTTAGAGGACACTGTTCCTTGGTCTGTATCATAAATATTTTTTTTTTCTTTTTTTTTTTTTTGGACGGAGTTTTACCCTTGTCGCCCAGGCTGGAGTGCAATGGTGCAATCTCGGCTCACCACAACCTCTGCCTCCTGGGTTCAAGTGCTTCTCCTGCCTCAGCCTCCTGAGTAGCTGGGATTACAGGCATGTGCCACTGCAGCTGGCTAATTTTTTTGTAATTTTTAGGAGAGACGGGGTTTCTCCATGTTGGTCAGGCTGATCTTGAACTCCCGACCTCAGGTGATCCATTGGACTCGGCCTCCCAAAGTGCTGGGATTACAGGCGTGAGCCACCGCTCCAGGCCCATAAATAATTTTTTAATGGAATGGGAGTAAAACAAAATTGTGTCAGTGTGGAAAGGAGTAGGGAAGCATTTGAGAAAATTAGTAATTTTAGAGTTGTTAGGTATTCAAAGTATCATTTAAATTGTTTTACAACTTAGGGCATAAATATTAACAGATTATTATTTATGTATTGCAGAGGAGAATTTGCTCTTTGGCTTGATGGAGATCTCTACCATGGAAGAAGCCATTCTTGTAAAACGTTTGGGAATCGTACACTTTCTAAGAAGGAAGATTTCTTTATCCAAGATATTGAAATCTGGGCTTTTGAATAAATACAATGCTCTCTGTCTTAGCAGGAGAATGGCCCAAACCTGACATGGACAAGCATTGTTTGGAAAGTTCAAGAAGCAATACAGTGTAACATGTCACTTGTGCTTTAAAATTAGTCTGTATCATCATTTATTACAAGTATAATTTTGGAGTTTATTTTTCAAATCATGTTCTTGTCCCAGAGTTCTTTAGGTTAACACTATGGACTGCGTCCATGTACTAGTATAACAGCTTGGGTTTGTTAGAATTTGGGCAACATTTTGATTATAATGACAACTTCATTTTCACATGTTATCTCAGTTCCCTAATAGGATGGTGCTCTTTTGTTGAACCTGTATTGATTTATTTATTTTTTAACTATATTGATTCTTTTACTAGAACAGTCTAATTGGGGCATTGAGGAAGTGAAGACTAGATACTTCTGTATCTGTGAAGTTGGCACAGGTAACATTTGGACATGTTCATCTTATTCTTATGAAGGAAAAATCACATGCCAAAATACTACATACTTCATAGACCACTGAGTTCTAGTTTTTATTCACACTACAACATTCTCTGTAACAATGTTGCAGGTAGTTTCAATTTCCTTTTAAGAAAAATGAAATTTGAGGAGAATTTTGATTGTAATAGATGACAATACACATGATCTACAGGTTTGGGCGTATGCTTTCATCATTAAATTATCTTATAAAGTTACAAATCACAAAGGAGAATGAGAACTTAATGATTCTATTGGATTTAATATATTAAGCAAGAAAACATACTATTTACATATGTGTAGCTTAGTAAGGCATTATCATAAGTACAAAAACTATGAAACAGATGCATATTTCCTCAACATACTGTGTCAGGTATATACTGTTTTATAATTTGGTTGTTTTAGCCTTGTTGCACACCAACTCCCAAAATATAGGTTACTCTTGTTCAAAAGGAAAAAAAAAAGTGTGATTTTCTTTGAGTGGTATATGTTATTAATTACCATTAGCATTTGCTCTTATAAAGGGCAATGATTATAGTAGACAATATTGTAACTCAGTAGACTTGTTGAATATGCAAACTTACTGTCAAGTGACCTCAAAAAAAATGAAAAGATAGAATACACTAGTAGTTCTTATCCTCTTTTGTAGTAAACCAATAATAGCCATTGTGGCAATAATTCATCAGTTAATTTTAAAGCTTCATGTTATGCAAAAAAGAATCCTGCTGTTATACATGTGACAGTGACTTTGTGCTGAAATTTCAGCTATTCCAGATAAACATTGTATATCTTGTAAATTAATGTTTAAAGGTAGTTTTGTTCTTATAGAAAGTGTTGATTGCCGGGTTGCTTATAGCACTTTAAGTTATTCTAAAAATGAAATTATAAGCCAAATATTGGCTTAAGTAGATTTAGTTGTATAGCACTTAGATATTTAGTTCTTTTGAAAGTTTAGATAATTATTTAAAGAAAGCATAATGCTAATGGAAAAGAAAATCTGATGTTCTATTATAATATGCTATTGCTGAATATGAATAGAAATACAGGGCATCATTTCCTCGTCTCATTATAAGTTAGTAACAATATATAGATTAAATGTTTACAATATAGGGAATTGTAAATAAATATATCAGTTTTTTCCCCTTTGGTCTTCCACAGCAGTATTATTGTCTTTGTGGAGTTGACTAATCATAATAAAAACATCCTGTAATGGATTCAACTAAGATAAGGTCATAGTGGCATATACCAAATAAAATCAAATACAGAAATACAAATGAGTTTGGATTTATTGAATACTCATTTTCTTAGCAAGTCTTTGTTTGATTAAGCCTACTACTATCTTTTTTTTTTTTTTTTAATGCTTCTAATAGCTTACATTGTGGTGGTGGTCATGGTGTTAGGAGTAATAGTGATGGGAGGATGCATTCAATTAGAGGGAGCATTACATTTTTTAAAATGGAGATGGGAGAAGGCACTTGACACATGGGAAAGTGCAAGTTATTTGATATTTTTAAAGTACATTGTTTTCATTTTGAGTGGAGAATGCGTAACAAGCTAAGCCTCTTGTCATAAACAGTTTTGTGTGTGCAGTGCCAAGAAATTTTGATATTTTGTATCCCATAGGTTCAGTTAACATTTGAGAGGAGGAGTGGCATGATCAGGTGTATACGTTAGGAAAATATCTGTGAAAAGTAGATGAGTAGAGGGAAAAACTAGAGACAAAGGGAAAGCGAGCCTTTTATAAAGTCCAGAAAAAATTGATTAGGCCCGAATAAGAATAGTGGTAATGGGAATAAGGAAGCATAGATTTGGAAAGGATTTATCAGTTAGGATGAACAGGAGTTGATTATTGATTGGATGTCAGAAAAAAGGATAGCTCTCAGGATTTTGGTTTAGGAGTTTAGATGTATTATTTATCAAGATGGGCAAGGTACATAGAAGAAAAACAAACAGCAGGTGGCAAAATGAAGTTAGTCATGGACTTTATTAGAGTATGATGTGAGATACAGGAGGATAAACTTTTTGGGGGTAGGACATTTTATATATCCTGAAAGGTGAACTTTAAAAGTCAACAAAAAACAAACTCTTTCACTTTTTATATGCAAACAAATATGAAATTTATGTATTACCATTTGTAATACCATTGAAAATACCAGCTATATAACAAAGTGAAGACCCAAATAGGAAGGATATACCATTTTCATTATTGGCAGACAATATTGATTAAAAGATAGCAGTTCTCTTAAATTATATTGACAGTGAAAATCTCACCCAGGCTTATTTTTTTTGGAAATTAAACTGATTGTACAGTTTATATGGAAATGTAAAATCAAAGAATAGCTAAGGCATCATGGAGGAATTGAGTATCTGGTCTTCAGTACCAGATAATCATGATTTATTAGAAAGCTGAGTAAGAAAGACAATGTATTGGTCAAAAGTTAGAAAGAAACTGTTTTCTAAAAAAGGTGATACTACTGACTGCTCAGTAGAGAAGACAGTCTATTCAATGGTGGATTAATTGCATATCTGTATGGAACAAAAAGTCTTGACTCATCTCACACCACAAACAATTACAGATTGAAAAATAATTGTGAAAAGTAAAACAATAAAGACATTAAATTATATAGGATAATATTTTCATGACATTAGGGTAAGCATATATTTCTTTAATGAGACACAAAAAGCACTAAATATAAAGGAAAAAAAATAAAGTATGCTACATTAAAACTTTAAGCACTTCATCAAAAGACCTTAAAAGTAAGAAGGTGCCCAGTAAGAGTGAAAGCTGTTGTTTTCTCCAACTTTTATTTTTGGTTTGGGGGTACATGTGAAGGTTTGTTACATAGGTAGACATGTGTCACAGGGGTTTGTTATACATACTATTTCATCACCCAGGTATTAAGCTTAGTACCCAACACTTATCTTTTCTGTTACTCGCCATCCTCCCACACCCCTACTCCAGCAGACCCTTGTGTCTGTTGTTTCCTTCCATGTGTTCCTAAGTCCTCATCACTTGACTACACTTATAAGTGAGAACATGTAGTATTTGGTTTTCTGTTCCTGCATTAGTATGCTAAGGGTAATGGCCTCCAGCTTCATCCATGTTCCTGCAAAAGAGATGATCTCTTTCTTTTTTATGGCTTCATAGTATTCCTTGGTATGTATGTACCACATCTTCTTTATCCAGTCTGTCATTGATGAACATTTAGGTTGATTCCATGTATTCGCTATTGTGGATAGTGCTGCAGTGAACATTCATATGCATGTGTCCTTATGGTAGGAAGATTTATATTTCTCTGGGTATATGCCCAGTAATGGCAGTGCTAGGTTGAATAGTAGTTCTGCTTTTAGGTCTTTGAAGAATCACCCCAGCTTCTTTACACCATACACGAAGAGCAGCTCAAGATGGATTAAAGACTTAAACGTAAAACCCAAAACTGTGAAAGCTGTTTTAAAAGGGAATGCGGAGTGGAGCAACTTTGGAAAATGTTTCTGGCAGTATCCACTAAAGCTAAGTATACACATGACTTTGACCAGAAAATTTAATTCCTTGATATGTACTGAACAGTAATATGTATGTGTTTACCAGGAGATATGCTGGAATGTGTACAGAACTATTTGCTTGCTCTCGTCACTTCCCATCCTCTCTCCTATACCCATACTCATACACTCTACATATTAATTTACTGCATCTCATTGTTACACTTTACCTATAAAGTTGTGTATGCATTTCCTAAGAATAGGGATATCCTCCTAAATAGCCAAAGTACAATGATCAGGTTCAGGAAATTTAACATTAATACAATAATATGGTCTAATATGCAATTCTTTTCAAATTTCTCCAATGACCCTAATATCCTTTCAAGCATTATTTTTCCTGGTTCATGATCCAGTCGAAGATCCTGCATTGCATTCAATTGTTCTGCCTTTTTATTTTAATCTCCTTTAACCTGGAAGAGTTCATTATTCATTGTTTCATGACAGTTGTATGTTTGAAAAATTTCAGGATCGTAGAATGTGCTTTAATGTAGATTTGTCTGAATTTTTCCTTACGGTTAAATTTTGGTTATGCATTTTTTATAGGAAAACCACAGAAGTGTTTTGTCCTCTGCATCAAATCAGGGCACACATAATGTATGTTTATCCCTTTATTGGTGATATTAGCTTTGATTATTTGATTAGATAGTGTCTACCATGTTTCTCCCCTACTATCAGTTTTCCTTGTGTAATAAGTCATATGTAGAGGGATGCGTATTTTTAAACTTTTTCATTCCCAACACGTTAGTTGCCATTGCCATTTACTACAGGGAAGAGCTTTCCTTTTTCCATCATTTATGAATATGTATTATCAGTATGAACTAATGAATTCTCCTTTTTCTAATTCAAAAGTTTATGTAACCAATTTCTATCCTAGACTTAACCAGTTGGAACCCCATCAGTCTTACTTCTATGAGTTTTTCAATTTTCTTGAGCATTTGCTTACTCCTCATGTAACAAAAATGTTTTAGATTGATCTGTACTTTCTGTAACCCAGTCCTAGAATCAGCCATTTCTGAAAGGAACCGTATTTCCCTTGCAGGAGAATCTTATTTAGAAATCAGGGGCACTTGTTGCCACTTCACGGCCTTTCAGGAGACAACTTATAGCATGAATTCACACCGATACCACTCCTTGTAATCTCACGCCACAGAGTTCTTGCTTGTCTTCTCTCATTCCATGTTTGTGTCTTCCCCCACAGTAAGGACATCAGTATATTTACTTGTTTGCTTAATTTTGTGATACAGACCTTAGAACTTCAGAATTGCCAAACCCATGCCCTCACACCAAAATTCAGTAGAATTTGATATTTCTTAGTTCTTTTATGTCTTTAGACTGAAAGTATTAAATCAAAAAGTATTGTAATCAAAAGTTGCGTATATTTCTTTTTTCTTCCTGTGTGGTTATTTTAATAAGATAAAATAGAATTCAATTTATTTGCTTTGTTTGTGTCCAATATTAGTTTTTCTCCTGCTCTTATTTAATTTTACTTTATTGCATGTATAATATTTAAGTTCCCAAAAGTCAAAACCCTATAAAGAGGTATACTCTGAGTCTGGCTCTGTCGCCCAGGCTGGAGTGTAGTGGTGCTGTCTTGGCTTACTGCAAGCTCCGCCTCCCGGGTTCACGCCATTCTCCCGCTGGGACTACAGACGCCCACCACCACACCCGGATAATTTTGGTTTTGTATTTTTAGTAGAGATGGGGTTTCACTGTGTTAGCCAGGATGGTCTTGATCTCTTGACCTCGTGATCCACCCGCCTGGGCCTCCCAAAGTGCTAGGATTAGAGTCGTGAGTCACCGCACCTGGCCATCTATTTCACTTCTTAAAAGATATTCCTTTTCTTTTATAGCTGCATCTATTGTATGCATATGCCATTCTTGATTTGACCATTTCCTATATGTTTTAGGTTGTTTACAGTATTTTAAGTTAGAAACAAGGCACAACACATTATGCATATGTATTTTCATATTGTTTGAGTTGTATATTCCATGGAAATTTTAGGAGTGGGATTTATTGGTCAAAAAGTAAATGCAATGTAATTTTGTTAGATACTGCCTGCCCCACAAATCTGGGCACACAGTATTATTAGATAATCCTTATGGGAATGATAGCTGGTGGATGGATCGCAGTACTCTCAAAACCTCTAGGCTAAGAGGTTGGGTCATAGAGCACATTTTTAAATTAAGTAACAAAAATTGGCTGCGTACTTCTTATACTAAAAGTATATCATAGGTACTGGGAATGAAATTAGAATATTCTAGGAATCCTGTGAGGCATCTACATTAAGGGCCACTTCAGTATGGACTCCGTGGTCTCCTGCTCCTCTTATATGCCCTGAACAGTGATGTAATAGAGAAGTTCCCATTGACATAAAATTCTAGTTTACACAGAATTGTTTCTATATCATGTGAGAAACAGCACAGGATTTTCTCTACTTCTTATCAGTTAGTAGCGAATAGAAAAAGAAGGAAGTAGAGCTTGGGAAGGGAAAGGAAAAAGCAGAAGGCAAACCAAGAATAGATGCAGCCCCATCTTGCAACACTGTGGGAAGCAAAAAGCCCACGCTCAGAACTTCCCTCCTTGTAGTGTAAGTGGGCAGAGTGATGAGGTGAACTTACACAACTTTAAGTTATGAGATAGAAGGGGTAATAAAGTACAGCACAGAAACCCTCCAAATACCTGATTGAAAGTTTGGAAAAGGAAAATCCTGAAGATTGGGAAATTAGTTATATAGTTATATATTGCCTGTTATTGGGAATTTAGAATTATCAATGATAAAATATAGGATTTCATATATTATTTGGTGACTATAAAAATATGAGGACTTTCATTACCTTGTTTTTGCCACCTGAGTTCTTTTATTTTTTGTTTTAATTTTTTTGTCAAAATATCCTAAGTTTTTCAACTATGGATATTCCTATCATGGAGTTTTTAGGATAATAATATTTTGGTTGAGGAGATATTTTTGGATCCCAATTCACGAAACATTAAGATGACGGCTGGCCTTAAAAATAAATAAAATATTTATCAGAAGAATAATACACAATAAAGAAAAAAGGCTACAAACCACAAGCTAGTATCACTAGACACCTCTTACGATGATGTCTGTCTCACAAGGTGCTTGTGAAGATGTGCCTATCACACAGCAGGCCTTTTTATCTAAGGAAAGTAGCTTTCTGATTTTACAGCCAGGCCTTATTCAGAAGAGTGTTAGTTAACGTCTTAGAAGCTGTCTGAGAAGAGGCCTTTTACTTTATCCTTACACTCAAATTGAACTTTGAATAATCTATGTCAGTGCCTGCATAAATTGTTATTATTCAGAATTGAATATGAGGAGACTCTTGAAACCTTCATCTATTAACAAATATTCTACTGATACTATAATCTAAGTTGCACTCTATAATTTTATTGTATTTCAAACAGAAGAAAGTGTATGTGGAATATAACCTGTAAGTACTATAAAAACAAGAACAGAAAATAGAAGAAAACATCTTTTATTCTTGTGCTATTTGTCTTTAACATTTGGCGTAGGTTTCACTTGTAATAGAAGTGTGCATCTTATATGAAATCCTACTTAGAAATATTGGTCATTAATTGGTAGCTCTATAAATACGGTATGGAAACAAAATATACATACTTTCTTAAAGAAGATACTGGAACCTTCAGTTTGAAAGAGACTCATACATGAAAACAAATATAATTCTTATAGCAATCTAATACCTATTATTTTGAGGTATCATATTTTGACGTTAATTTTTACGTTTAACACCAAAGTGCTATACTATCAATGCATTTTAGTAACTTTCATTGAATCCAGTAAGAAGTGCAATCTCACATTCCATTCCATTTGTTTTTAAGATCACATAGGCACATTAATGTCAAATGATTTTCTCCTTGCCATCATAATAACTGTATATTTTTTACTTTTGCAGAACTAATATTGCAGTTTTATGACTTTTAAACATTTCGTAAAGTTTTCTTTGTTACAGTATGAGGAAAATTAAACTGTCTCAAATCTGTTTTTAATTCACCAATGATTCTATGGGATTCTTCTAATACTGAACATTCCACTTCATAGATTTTCTGTATTTCTCCATTGTTGGAGAAATACATATCACTGTATTGATATAAATGCAAGCAGCTTGACTCATTATATGCTGACATGTAATGAAACAATAAACTTCTCCAAGAAGTCCTACAAAGGCAAGTAAATCTGAATCTCTCACCTCTGCCCTACTTTTAGTGAGGGTGTGCCTTCCTTTGTTGGTGCTAAGACAGGAAGTGTCTCTTTTTATGTGATTTACTCAAATCAAACAAGGAAGTGAACTCTTACTGGAAACCTGTTAGAATCCAAACCCATAGAGGAACTTCACAATTTCAGCAACATCTTGACAACTTTTTATGTATGTGTTTGTTTTGTGAGTGATGCTATGATATAAGCAATACAAAGTCAAGCTTCTGAAAAAAATTTTAAGTTTAATTTTACCAAACTTAATGGTATTTTCTTTTTTCAAATAAAGACACAGTATTTTATGTTCTGCTGATATTTATCTCAACTCAGCATTCTTCTTAGATGTAATGTTTAATTAAAAATCTGTAGTAGTTTCTACAATGAATAGCTAAATATTTTGGCTAAAACATACAAGTGGCTGCGTGCTGTGGCTCATGCCTATAATCCCGGCTACTTGGGAGGCTAAGGTGAGAGGATCACTTGAGTAGGTAAAAGACCAGCTTTGGTGACATGAAGAGAACCCGTCTCAAAAACAAAAACACTCTGTGGAATTTCAACTCTTCGTCCTATTTCTATATATTTACATTCTATATGCTTTCTGAAATGCTTTGTGCTTTCTCAAAATCTCCAAGCTTCCTCATTCTAGGTAGAATAGAATGCCAGAAAGTCATTTATGTAAAAATTGTTTAATATTTACTAAGTTATTACAGAGAGGTTGCATTTTCATTTTACCTACATGAGCATTTAGCATTAAGACAATAGTGGGCCAAATTTGGCTTTTGTTTTTGAAGGTTCATTTGAGTAGCGTAATCACAACATGGTCATCTCGGCCTTGCCATAGCATCTCTCCTTCAAAGTCTACCAGTCCATGTTTCCTGGCACGCATGAGAATACCCACTACTTTATCTGAAATACGAACGTATCTGTCAAAGAGATCTCCAAAGGTAACCTGGATCTTGCCGTCTCGTCTGTGGCGAGCCATTGTGCGGATAATGAAGCACATGTCCATAATTTCCCTGTAGATGTGCTCCTCGGCACGCTTGGCCCTTTCAGCGGTTTTGGTTCCTTCCTTGGGGCGACCGTAGCCCTCATCTCCTTTGTGTAGGCGGGTGGACATGGCCAGCTCATAATCAAACTCTTCACTGAAAGGATTGAGCTTCTGGGATTGTATGTGTTCATCAGCCCACTGCTGCCATCTCCCTTTCAAATTGCCCACTTGGCTGTATTTCTGTTGGGCTTTGCAGTTGAGTTTCTCTGTAAATCTGTTTACCCTAAAGTAGAGAGAGGGTGAACAATCAAGATTCAGATATGTTAACACCAAGTGTTGTTTTCCCTTTGTACTTCCCATGCATATGCATCTTTAATGTAAGTATAATTTTTTCACTACAAAAATAAACACAATATAAAAAATTAGAAATGAAAGAAGAAAAGTCATACATAGTCCCACCATTGTTCTTAGTTTGGTGCATATCCTTCTAGATTGTTTTCTCTATGAATATTTTAAGCATTATAATGATACTAAAATCTATTTTAAGAAAAAAGCTTCCCCACACAAAGTTAATGCAAATGTGTATATCTTAAAGTTGAGTATTAGTAACACTTTAGAACTGGAATCATGTAGGTGTTTTCAGGAATCTAGTTCTTAAAGGACCTCTGAAACCAATTTTTTCCCAAAGGTAAGGACTATACCACTACACATGCATTTTAATATTTTCTCATATATAGATTTTCATATGTGTATTTTTCAGTGAGAGCATATATAGACTAGTATCAATGATGCCACAAACTTTGAAATATTAAGTTGTACAGATAGAAAACACTAGCTAGCAACAGTAACATTTACTGAACACTATGTATTGGCATTCTATATGCTTTTTATTAATATTCCCCGCAACCATTTCCTGAGATAGGTACTACTATTCCTAGTTCACAAGTGAGGAAACTGAGGCCAGAGAGATGAAGTAACTTCTTAAAGTCACAAAACTGTTAAGTGAACCAAAGATAAGACTTCGAAACAAAGATAAGTTGGCTCCAGAGCCTGTCTATAACTATGAAATACTGCCCTAAATAGGTGACGGGGTAGGATTCAAACGCAAGACTGCCTAAGACCAAGGTCAATGCTCTTTCTACTATGCAGTGATGCCACTCAGCAGGCCCATACAGTGTCTAATAAAGGAATAAGTTGTGTTTTAAATGTGTGTATCTTTGGAATTCAGAATGCATTTTCTATTAAAAAGCCAACTCTGGAAAGTGTAGACTAGTAGTATCAGGATGCCAGCCTAATATTAGTATGGGGCAGCAAACTAACGCAGGAACAGAAAACCAAACACCACATGTTCTCATTGTAAGTGGGAACTAATCAGTGAGAACACATGGACACAGGGAGGGGAACAACACACACCGGGGCCTGTTGGGGAGGGAGAGCATCAGGATAAATAGCTAATGAATGTGGAGCTTAATACCTAGGTGACAGGTTGATAGGTGCAGCAAGCCACTGTGGCACACATTTTTCTATGCAACAAACCTGCACATCCTAGCCTGCACATGTATCCCAGAACTCAAAAAGACGTCCCTGCCATTTGTCCAATTGCCTAGACTTTTTCCCTAGGTCTCTAACTTCACAGGTAAAACACGAACTCGAACTATCTGAGAGTTGTACTCCTAACCCTCACAAGCGTCCCACCCTCCCTTTTTCTCCCCAGTAACAAGTGGCCTCATGCCTGGAAGCATTGGGATTGGTGGTGCTGAAAGTATTTGTGTGAACGGCATGCCTGAGCTATCCCAGCTCTCGCAATTTACTATTAAAAACCCAGCAACCAGTCAGAGTTGGGTATCCCTCACCATCCAAACTCACTTCCTGAAATCTGGTTACCCAAACGCTGGAACCAAACACGTGGACCTGGAGGAATATATACTGACATTAACATTGTTTTCAAAAAAGAAATGACATCCACTAGATGGCGAACTTTCATCAGTTCTTATGCTGGATGTTTCCCAAAGTCCTATGCTTGCTACATGGTTTCATAGCACAATAGAATTGGAATTGGAAATACTCCTACATATAACACTACTATCCTTTATACAAACATGGATGAAAGTGTATGACACAGTTAATTAGTAAAAACAAAAAAAGCACACAAAAACTGTATACACGATTATTACAACTTTGTAAAATATATGTATGAAGAAGTGCTAGGAGCTCACCGGGCTGAAGTGTAATGGATTTCCCTCAGCCCTCCTTGTCAGTTGATCCCCTGCCTTGCCATTGACTTTTCTTGTTTAGCTGCCCTCAGTGTGGGCTGCTCGATCTCATTATCAAAAGAAAGCAAATACCTTGTCCCTTTGGAGCCATGCTGATCAATGACTGATCACCATGCTGATCAAAGGCATATTCTTCAGTATCAAGCCCAAGGCCATCTTGGCAGAGCGTGAATTTCATACCAGACTTAACAGCTGAGGTGTCCTGCCAGAGTAGAGGCTCGAAGTATCTCAAATGAAAGTGAATAGTGTGATTTATTAACTCATACTTTGTCTCCTGAGCACCAACTGTGGTGCTGCCCTATTGTGTAAATCCTAATGCATCCTGCCTTTAAACAGTTTTTGAGCACTTTTACATCCCTCCCATGCTTTGAAGTATTTATTTACGATACTGTGTGCCAGGCACTTTTTAAGGTACTTACTGGATATTTTATAATGAAAGTAATACAAATTTGGGTTTAGGATACAATCACAACTCTGTAAAATGTATAAGCACTAGGCTAAAGAATTTAATAACATTTGCATAATTAAAAATGATTATGTCAGTATCCAGATAACAGTTGGTTCTTTTCACTTTTCAAAATTCTCTTTTATGTTGGTATTATACTGATTTGGTAACAAAGAAAGCAAAAAATAGGTAAATACTCAAATTTGCATCCAGAGGTAATTTGTTTAAACTACATTACATGGGTCTCTGATTCTTTGATGTAGGCTTTTTCTTCTAATTTTTAATTAGGAACTTAGATTCCCTAAATGTTGCAACTTAGTGTCATTTGGGATAACAGCTGGGGTTGGTGTGTGCTAATAAATCTGTGAAGAGCTTCTAGGCCAGGCACAGTGGCTCACGCCTGTAATTCCAGCACTTGGGGAGGGTGAAGTGGGCAGATCACTTGAGGCCAGGAGTTTGAGATCAGCCTGGCTATCATGGTGAAGCCCCATCTCTACTGAAAAAATACAAAATTAGCCGGCGTAGTGGTGCATGCCTATGGTCCCAGCTACTCGGGAGACTGAGGCAGGAGAATCTCTTAAACCTGTTAGGCAGAGGTTGCAGTGAGCCGAGATAGTACAACTACACTGCACTCCAGGCTGGGTGACAGAGATTCCATTGGGAAAACAAAACAAAACAAAACAAAAAAAAACCTGTAAAGAGCTCCTAAAGGAAGCACCATTTAAACATTAATGTCTATTTGTTGTGTTGTCAAATTGTAGTGCCCTCTAATTGGAGGGAAGAACACCAAAGAAAGTTGGTCCCATAAGAAAGAATTAGAAAACAGGGCTAGGAAAAAAAAGAAGGAAATTCATCTTAATGAGCATCTAATTTTCTCTATTTTATAAACATTCTGTATTATTTTTATATCTCCAGTTTTTAAAAGGTCAAAGTATATTGGGTTTGGGTTTAAGTCAGGGTTAGAAAGTCTTATATACTGAATTTTTTTTGGTCAATAAATATCATAAATATAAGAATCGATACCAGATTATGCTGTTTTTAAAAATTTTAGGGAAAAATGTGAATGAAACTCTAGATTTAACTTTAGAAAGATAACCTATCATAAATTGAAAGAAAGCAAAGCAATATTTAAAGGCTAACATCTCACTCATATTTTGGAACAGCAATACTAAATCCAGACCCACCTTCTCAGTTTCTTCATTATTAGTAAACAAACTTTCTTATAGTCAATCAAAAGTATAAATTAGCCGGGCGTGGTGGCAAGCACCTATAGTCCCAGCTACTCGGGAGGCTGAGGTAGGAGAATGGTGTGAACCTGGGAGGCGGAGCTTGCAGTGAGCCTAGATTGCACCACTGCACTCCAGCCTGGGCAACAGAGTGAGACTCCATCTCAAAAAAAAAAAAAAGAAATATATATATATCTTCCCTGTCCTGCTATGTTCAAGGTAACTAATTCTACTAGACATCACAAGCAATCTGTCTAGGAAAGTCTAGTTTCATTTACTAAAATATATTCTGAAATTTGTTTCTTTTCTAAATGGGCCTCTTCAGCAGCGTGAGGAGAAGATGGGAACCAATTTTATCTATAATTCTGTCACTTCAGAGTAATGATTATATGGGTAAATTATTATATATGTAATCAAACCCCCAGGAAATAAGAGTTCTAAAAGATATATTTCAAATCCAGCAAGTTCACTGGCACTGAAAACATTTTCTGATGGTTGCCCTTCTCCTGAATCACCAGCTTCAAAATGCCTGGGGCGCCTAGAGGCATGATTTTCTCTTCTGTCTGCGATCTGTATGGAGAACGTGAAGATGGGCTCTCATTGCCAACTCCACAGATCTTCCTGTAGAGGGAGCATTTCTCCTCCTCGTGCAGGCACCCTCCTCTGTCAGCGAGAAGCAAAGAATCTCTGCCACCCTTTCCAACTTCTAGGAGAAATGCTGCGTTGATTTGCTTGTCCTTCCCTACAGACAGTTTAGCCCCTTTGATTACTGAGAGTGTGACATCAAGAAGGGCACATTTATCAGAAGCAGGGTGACAGCATTCAAAAGGCAATATGACATTTCCGCTCAGCAGTTTTGCTGTCATTTTCAGCTTCATTTGAGAGCCAGGCCTGTGATTCTCCTTCAGATTGAACTGTCTTCAGAGTCTGTGGAAGGGGTTCGCGGCCCTAGAATTGGGCATAGGCAGAAGGACAGCATAATTTTGCCTTTGTTTCTTGTGAGGTCCTTCAATACAGTTGCACCAAAACCCTGAACTTTGGGAGTCGTTAGGATTTCACTAATTAAGCCCACATTTTGATCTCCACTTTGTTCCTTGAATCTGTTCTCTACTGAGAGGGACAGTCTAGCATAGTGGTTGAGAACACAAGTGCCTTCCCAACTTCATCCCTTCCTCGTTCTGTGACTTGGATTATATGTTTCTTAATGTCTCTTTGTGCCAGTTCCCCTGTTTGTAAAATGGCAGCCTCCTGCTCAACTGCTATTATTTTCACTGAATTAAACATGGAGGACAGGATGATAAGTGATTGGTACTTTCATCTTGCACCTTTATGGGAGAGAGATCTAATTTCTTTTGTCTAAAGGAACTGGATTGAACAAGTCACAATCAAAAGACTAAATATGTTTAAAGTTAGACAAAATATAAACAATTTTCATAGTAAAACTCCAGTTAGAAATACCACTGTTGGTAAAGAATTTATCTACTTTTTTCACAGTTGATCTCTTTGTTTCTATTATCCATGGAACATCTTAACCACCACGAAACTTTCTTTCCACCTAAACGTCTGTGATACATAATTTTCTCCTTATTGGCAGATACAGGGAGAGAAGGGTGCCTATAATTAAAACTAAGTGGACAAAAAGACTTTTCAAATTGGCTTAGTAATGCTGCTTTCATTTCTCAAGCAATATTTGAGAGTATCATTGGCCAAAAATTCCTATGAGGTGTCTGCTGAAGTTTCCTGAGCACAGCTAGGATTACTAATGGAATTAAGAGCTGCTGTTGCTGCATACACCATTCTGGTACCCTATGTACTCTAAGACTGAGGGAAAGGAATCAAAAAAGGAAAGAAGAGATTTAACTACCACTACCACTCTGAACCTACAGAGCCAAGCTCCTAGCATCTTGAAGGGCTGGGATCACCAAGCCTGGCTCCCTGTATTATAACGAGTACAATTTACTAATGAGCTCCCCGAGTCTATCACTTTACATAGCTAATATAAAAATAACCCCATGAGATATGAGCTATAACATCTATTTTTTAGATGAGGATAGAGAGACTCAGGATTACCAAAGTAACCACGATTCAAATCTAATTGTCTCTTATTCCAAGCGTAGGCATTTCAACACATTAAGAAGGTGCTCATGTACTAGCCTGATTTGGGAAACCCCAAGACAGGTCCTGTATCCCACTCCCCACTTTTAGGTGAGACAGTTTACTCAGAGCCAGAATGACTGAGTTCAAATCTCATAGGCTGTAAAATCTCATACAAATTCCCTAATATTTCTTCATCTCCTGTCTCCATCTATCAAAGAGGGATGATGATTATATCCTATCATATGAGCATACTGTGAGGTTAAATAAATATATGAGAAGTGCTTAGACAAGTGCCAAAGAATGTCTAGCTCTACTATGCATTCAGGATTGGTCCCAGCTGTCACCTCCCTACCGCTAGTTAATTTAAAATGTGCCAAGAGAAAGATCTTGTCATTGTGCCCCCTCAGTCTTTATTCTTTTGGACCCCATTATTCCATTTCTAGCACACATGTCCCAAGATCCAAAAGGTCAGAATTTGGAATATGGTTCCTCATGTTCAGATAGCATAGTTACTTCTGATCATTAACTCCTATATTAAGCACAAATCCAGACCTCTGAATGCATCCTCAAGACACTGCCTGAAGGTTAGAACCATGTCTGGTTTCAAAACATCGCATTTGGGCAAGTCTTAGCTTTGTCACTAACTTGCTGGGCAAACTTACCCTCTGAGCTTTGGTGTTCTTATCCCTGCAATTGTGAATAGCTACCTCAGAGGGTTATAAGAAGTGAAGCGACAAAGCATTTAAACACCTATAGCATACACTAAACACATGACAGATTATTGTAATTACCCGTTTGCCATTTTATTTTTCTTGAAAGCTAGTAGTGTAGTAGTTCTAATTCTTTCAAAACACCTTTATAGTCTCAAGCTATAAGACAGCTCTTTAAGCCCGGTTCAGTGACTCATGCATCCCAGGACCTTGGGAGGCCGAGGTGGGCGGATCACCTGAGGTCAGGAGTTCGAGACCAGCCTGGCCAACATGGTGAAACCCCATCTCTACTAAAATACAAAAATTAGCTGGGCGTGGTGGTGTGCACCTGTAATCCCAGCTACTCAGGAGGCTCAGGCAGGAGAATCACTTGAACTCAGGAGACGGAGGTTGCAGTGAGCCAAGATCGTGCCACTGTACTCCAGAATAGGCAACAGAGTGAGACTTCATCTCAAAAAAAAAGAACAGCTTTTTGTCAAAATAGGTAACCTTTTTTTTTCTTCTTCTTATTGTTTCATGAGACTTGAAAAACACACTGTCCCCAAAGGGAGTCAGTCTATAAATGTAATGACATCAGACACTTTTCTTATATTTTGATACCCTGGCATTGTGGAACAAGAAATCCTGACTTCCTACTATGTGGAGTTACTGTCTTGAAATAAAGCACGTGCCTCGTCTATACAAATGTTTCGGATTGAGTAAGTGTGTGTGTGAGTGTGTGTGTGTATTTAGCATCTAGACATTTTAATTATTGCTGTCTTTGTTTACAAATAGGACAAACTGTTTTTGAAAATTTGAAAAGTTGCAAAGTAACCAAATCTATGTGAGTAATAACAGTTTTCATGGATTAAGCATATGTGACAAGCTCTGTATTTGATAACCCTAATCTCATTTACATTTCCCAATACAATAGAACTTCTCCCAAAAGCTTACAGTTGCTGTCATTTTACAAATGAGGAAATCCGCTTTTTTGTTATTTTTTATTTTTTATTTTTATGTGAAACAGAGTCTTGCTCTGTTGCCCAGGCTGGAGTGCAGTGGCATGATCTTGGCTCACTCCAACATCAGCCTCCTGGTTAAAGCCATTCTCATGTCTCAGCCTCCTGGGTAGCTGGGAGTGTTACAGAGGTGCAACACCGTGCCCAGCTATTTTTTTGTATTTTTTGGTAGATATGGGGTTTCACCAATGTTGGTCAGGCTGGTCTCCAACTCCTGGCCTCAAGTGATCTGCCCTCCTCGGCCTCCCAAAGTGCTGGGATTACAGGCATGAGCCACTGTGCCCAGCTGAGAAAATCAGCTTTAAAAAGGACTAGTTAGGGTCCTAACTAGGATTTGGGATTGGATCGGTCTGACTTCATTCAGAGCCTGCTCTCAAATTAGACAGCAGCCTTCCACCTGTTTAGAGTCAGAGATTTGTGTTCCATGGGTGTTATTGAAGCAGACGTATCTCCTGATAATAGCATAGATATTTGGGACAAGGTAAGTTTCCCCAATGAGTCTACCAGAAACCACTCTTATCTCTAAGGAAATAAGCCAATTTGTTACTCATTATAGAACTGACTTAAAGAATTCACACAAAACAGGCATCCTTCTCTGATGGCTTCATCTTTGTTGAGGCTAAGACTTGGATGTTCAGTTCAAAACAAAAAGGAGAAACAAAATAGCACAAGCCCTGACCAAAAGGTCCATGTCTAAGGTTGGCACGGACCTTCAGCCCAGGGTCATCCCTCCTCTACAGTACTCACTGCCTGTGAGTCTTTGAGATTCTCGCTCTAACCCTGGCAGGACTTCATCTGCTGCCTGGATTCCCAGAGTTGGTTGGGGCTCAGTAGTGATCCTGATACAAGGAGTGGGAGAATGCATTCACTTACTGAGAGGGCAAGGGGCGCTTGATCCTGGCCACAGCCACCTGCACTCCATCCTGCTCGGGCCTCTCCTCGGCCTCTCCTCCGTAGCCACTGTCCTCTGTGTCTACGCTGTCACTCCTCCACGTGGGCTCCTCCTGCTCCATCACTCTCCAGCCCTTGGTGAGCTCAGACACCAGGTTGGCACATTTTCTCCTCCGCGTTGGGGAGTCGTGGCTGTGGAGGATTCTGTCAATGTCATTCTCTGGCTGCCCAGGTTCAGGCACACCAACATCCCTCTCGTACCTGTGGCTGAGGTGGCTCACGTCCCCTCCTCTCTCATAAGCTTTGCTGACCACCGTTTTGGTCACCTCTTTCTTTTTGATGTGAGAAACCTCAGGGGCTTTCTCTGAGCTTTGTCCATCTCCATGTCCTTCTGGCGTTCGGGGTGGCGACTTTGGGGCACTCTGAGCTTTCTGGTGTGAAGTAGGGGGTGTGATTGGTTTAGGAGCTTGGGGTGAGTCCTGGGTCCCTCCCGGCAGCCAGCCTGTAGGCTCCTGGGCCTGCCTGATGCTGTTCTCATTCGCCCACTGCTGCCAACCTCGGGCCAAGTTGATGACCAGAGTGGCTGTGCGTATCTTCCGGAGGGCGCTCTTGGCTGGGCCCTCCTCCCTTTCCTTTTCGCCCGGAGCCATGCTGCCCACCTGTCTTTTTTCTGCTGATAGCCTGGGCAGTGGCTAAAATGAGTATGGTCCAGTGGAGTGCCTGGGATTTAAATAGAAGCAGGGTGCGGGGTGGGAAGGAGAGCTTAGTGACGATGGAAACTATGTGAAGCATTTCTTGCCAAGATATGGCGCCTTTGCCCTGATGGTGTTCTTTTTATAAATCATGACAGCTCGAGTTTCATCACGGCAGAGGGACATCTCTGCTGGTAAGGGACAGTGATATGCTCACTCTCTTTCTTCTCCAAGTGCCAGAGTGGAAATTACTAGATCAAGTCATGTGCTCAGCCTTATGTTTTCCTGACGTTAATATGGTCCTGCCATTTATAGGTGCATACAATATGCGTACATATTACCCCGGGAACATTATAGGATTGTTCCCATTTAAACCCCAGCAGTCCTCAGTACAGCTCCTAATTAGTTCCACTTTATAACTAAGTAAACTAAAATCTAACTTCCTGCAGCTAATAAAATCTGAGATTCAAATCCGTATCCGTGTAATTCAAAGCTTGTGCCTCCTTTTATGCCAGTTATCAAAGATCCTAAGTTGCCTTTTTCTTTTTCATTCAACTCCATTAGAAATAGACCTTAGAAAATCAACTCACCCAACCTTCATTTTCCAGATGAGAAAATTGAAGCCCAGATAAGAGAAAGACCAAAGTCCAGACAGTCAAAGACTAATTACTTTCCAGTCCCATCTTTGAAGTATTGTATAGATAACTCATATTAAAATACAAAAAGGCAGTCAAAATTTTGGTCCAATCATTAAAAAATGTTTTTAAAACCTGCATACACATTGAATTTTAGAAATTATTATTGGAATACATCTTTTCAAATACTTCATTTGAAAAGATCATCTAAGGACAGAATTCTAAGGACAGAATAAATGAATGCTATTGGTAGCTCACTTCTTATCCCCATCCCTGCCTACCCTTACCCTTTGGTTTTTGGTTGTTGTTTTGTTTTGTTTTTTGAGATGAGGTCTTCCTGTGTCCCCAGACAGGAGTGCAATGGTGTGGTGATGACTTACTGCAACCTTGACCTCTTGTGCTCAAACAATCCTCTTGCCTCAGCCTCCCAAGCAGCTGGGACTACAGGCATGAGCCACTATGCCTGGCTAATTTTTTTTTTTTTAATAGACGGTGTCTCACTGTGTTGTCCAGGTTGGTCTCAAACTCCTGAGCTTGTGCAGTCCTCCCACCTTGGCCTCCCAAAGTGCTGGGATGACAGATGTGAGCCCCCACATCTAGCCCCCTTTGTTTTTAATAACACAATCTTCCTTAGCAGGACTTTAAGTTCATGTAGGCAAAGATAGTTTTTCAACTCTCACAAGAGAGACTGAAATATAATATTTTTTAAAAGGACTGGAAAGACAAGCATGTGGACAGGAAGAGAAACATCTATGCAGTGTATTAAACCAGATAAAAATGTCCAAGGCTCAGCAATGAATAATTTCTTAAAGTAAGCAGAATTTTTTTTCATTCAACAGTTCTGTTGGCTTTAAAACTATATCCTTTCCTTCAGTCTTGCATGCACCATACTAATTGAAAACTGCTGTTTAAGAGCACAAAAAGGTATAAAAATTAATTATTTCAGGTAGTGAGACATTTATTTTGGAAAAAAAGTTGATATTTTTCATCATGTGGGTTATTTACCTCCTAGGATAAAAAAAATTGGGAAGTGATTTAATACTTCATCTACAAATCTGTCAGAGGTGTTTCGAGTTCAACAGCATCTGATAGCTTTAACTAAGGGCCATAAATGTGGAGAAAAAGAAAAGCCCTCTTGATTAATTAAGAGGAAGTTGGATCACAAGGAAAGAAAGCTATTACAAACAAAGATTTCAATCTGAGCCTGAAATTTCTGGCATTCCTCCCAGCAATGCAGATTCACAGCAACCTGTTTGGTTCTTATCAGAATCTCTTCATCCCACTTGGAAGGCCTTAGGAAAAAATAGAGTTCCTCTAAGACACCCATACGCTTAGCCCAGAATCAGGATAATTTATAGCTTTCAATGAGATTTTCCTGCTGCCTGTCCACACCTGCCCCAGATTCAGTCCTGATAGAGGGAGAAGAAATGGAAACAGCAAATGCTAACAGTCTTTCACATATTAACTGGCATTGCAGTCAGCTACTGGGGTTTGGGGATGTCAGCAGAAGGTCTTGGCTAAAAAACAGGAGCAGCTTCTAGAAGAGCCTGGTCATTCCTTCTGAGATTTAGCCTCCATGGCAACTGCAGTCCTTCATTCACAACTCTACAGAAGAGAGTATAAAATCGTTTTCCTCCTCACGTGTGCTTTGGGACTTTCTTCCTGAAAGCAAGGTCTGTATGCTACCTCCCATACATCTTTGATTGCTATAGAAATGTTATGTTCATTGTCTCAATCGAAATTCAAATTCTTGGGAGTTCCAGATTTTCCTGTTTCATTTATGTTAGAAATGAAAATAAAATCTCAAAGACAAAAATAAAATGAAATAAGTGTTTTACATTGGGAGCTCCCTAGGAAACCTTGAGATTTGAAATTGTTTGTGAAGATGATTAATGAAATAATTATCACCTAAGAAGTCTCTCATAAGTGAGAAAGTATCTTGAAAATAATATTTGTTATTTTTTCGCTCATATGAATAATAGTAGAAAGAGGAAGGAGAGGCATTTATATATTTTTCTGCATGATACACTTAGAAGTTAAGTAGAGCCAACCCTCATAGCCAGTTGTATAATCTTATTAAAGAGACTTAGAAAACTACATTTGCTCAAAGCTATATGAAACAATAGCTTTTTTGGGTTTTTTTTGTTTTGTTTTGTTTTTGTTTTTGTTTTTGTTTTTTGAGATGGAGTTTTACTCTTTGCCCAGGCTGAAGTGAAGTGGCATGATCTTGGCTCACTGCAACCTCTGCCCCCTGGGTTCAAGCGATTCTCCTGCCTCAGCCTCCTGAGTAGCTGGGACTACAGTCATGCGCCACCACACCTGGCAAATTTTGTATTTTTAGTCAAAATGGGATTTTGCCATATTGGTCAGGCTGGTCTCAAACTCCTGACCTCAGGTGATCCAGCTGCCTGGGCCTCCCAAAGTGCTGGGATTACAGGCGTGAGCCACCGCACCAGGCCACAATAGCTGCTTTTTAAAGTTTTATTATGTATATTTGAAGTTTACAACATGATTTTATGGAATACATATATAATAAATAGCAAAATAATTACCATAAGAAAGCAAAGTAACATTTATCATCTCACATAGTTGCTTTTTTGATAAGAGCAGCTAAAATCTACTTTAAAATCTCTAATGCACTTTTATTAACTATAGTGCTCTATTGTACATCAAATCTCTAGATTTGTTGTTAATCCTACATATCTGCTACATTGTATCCCTTGACCTGTGTTTTCCCGTTTCATCCCCCAACCTGACTCCTGTAACCACTGTTTTATACTCTATATATTTAACCTTTTTTAAAAAATCATGCAATATTTTTCTTTCTGTGTCTGGCTTATTTTGCTTAACAAAATGTCCTTCTTGTCCATACATGTTATGCCAAATAGCAGGATGTCATTCTTTTCCGGGCTGAATAATTTTCCATTCTTTCTTTATATATAGACACACACATATATAAACACACATACGTGTATATAATGTATATATTATATATGTTATATATATGCATACACACATATATACATATCCCACATTTTCTTTATCCATTTGTCCACCTACAGACATGTAGGTTGTATTCATATTTTGGGTATTGTGAAAAATACCACTATAAATATGGGAGTGCAGATATCTTTATGAGGTAGTGATTTCATTCCCTTTGGATATATGCTCAAAAGAGGGATTGTGGGATCATATATAGTTCTATTTTTTATTTCTTTAAGAACCTCCATACTGTTTTCCATAATGACTACAACATCCTACATTTTCACCAACAGTGTACTTTTCTCCACATCATTGCCAACATTTATCTCTTGACTTTTTGATAATAGTCATTCTAATGGATATGAAGTGATATCTCATTGTGGTTTTGGTTTGCATTTCCTGGATGATTATTGATGTTGAGCACATTTTCATATACCTACTGGCCATTTTTATATTTTCTTTGGATAAATGTCTGTTTAAGTCCTTTGTCTATTTTTTAATGAGGTTATTTGTCTTTCTGCTAATAGTTTGTGTTTTATTTATACTTTTAAAATACTTAACTCTTTATCAGATATGTAATTTACAGATATTTTTCCCAATCCATAGGTTGCCCTTTCATTTTGTTGTTTGTTTCCTTTCCTGTGCAGCTTTTTAGTTTGATATAGTTCCATTCATTTATTTTTTATTTTGTAGCCTGAGTTTTTAGTATAATATATTTTAAAAATCATTGCCAAGGCCAGTCAATGTCCAGGTGCTTTATTCCTATGTTCACTTCTAGGAATTTTATGCTTTTAGATCTTACATTTAGGTCTTTCATTGACTTTTGGTTTTTGTGTAAGGAATAAGATAAGGGTCCAATTTTATTCTTTTGCATGTGGAAATCCAACTTTCCCAACACCATTTATTAAAGAGACTACCCTTTCCCCATTGTGTCTTCTTGGTGCCCTTGTCAATACTGTGTTGGCAGTATATATTTATACTTATGAGCTCTCTATTCTGGTTTTTTTTTTTTTTTTTGGTCTGTGTTTCTGTTTTATGCCAATACCATACTATTTTGATTACTATAGCTTTGTGGCATAATTTTAATTCAGGAACTGTGATGCCTCCAACTTTGTTTTTCTTTCTCAGTATAGCTTTGGCTGTTTGGGTTTTTTTATGGTTCCTTAAAAATATTAGGATTGCTTTGTCCACTTTGGTGAATAATGTCATTGGAATTTTAAAAGTGATTGCATTGAATCTGTATATTCTTGGACATTTTAACAATCCTAGTTCTTCTCATCTATGAACATGGGATATCTTTACACTTATCTGTGTATTCTTCAATTTCTTTTAGCAATGTTTTATAGTTTTCATTGTAAAAATCTTACACCTGCTTTGTTTAAATTTATTTCACATATTTTTTATGCTATCATAAGTGGGATTGTTTTCTTGATTTCCTTTTCAGCTAGGTTATTTGTGTACAGATATCAAAAATTTTTGTATGCTGATTTTGTATTATGCAACTACTGAATTCATTTATTAGTTCTAACAGTTTTTTTATATGAAACTTTGAGGGTTTTCTACCTATAGGATAATATCATCTGCAAACAGAGATAATTTTATTTCTTCTTTTTAAATTTGAGTGCCTTTTCCTCTTTTTTTTTTCTTATCTGATTGTTCTTGCTAGTACTTTCATTACAATGTTGAATAAAAGTGGTGATAGTTGGCATCCATGCCTTGTATTGGCTCTTAGTGGAAAAGCTTTCAGTTGTTCCTTGTTAATTACGATGTTAGCTGTGGATTTTTCTTAAATGGCCTTTATTATGTTGAGTAATAATAAAACTATTATTAACAGTTATATATTAACAGTTAATTTATAACTTAAACTGTTAAGAATTTTTATCCAGAAAATATAATGAGCTTTGTCAAATGCTTTTTCTGCATCAATTGAGACAATAATGTGGTATCTTTCATTCTGTTAATGTGATGTATTTATGATTTGCATATGTTTAACCAGCCTTGGATGTCAGAGATTAATCCCGCTTGATCATGATGTGTAATCTTTTGGATGTGTTATTGAATTCTCTTTGCTAATATTTTTTGAGAAAAAATAATTTTATTAATCCTTTTTATGTGAGTTCCTTAAACAAATAAGTCCCTTAGTTGTTTGGACTTATTTGTTTGGTAAACAAGTAACTTGCTTAGTTTCACACAGTTGGTCATGAAAATACTTTAATAGAGTAAAAAAGAGCTTTTTATTGCAATAGAATTTACCATGCTCAATGTTCGTGGAATGTATACAATGGGTGAAGACTAATGGTAAACAATGTGGGATAGGGTATAAAGAT